CGTCTGAAGAGTGACGAAGGTCATTAGGAGGCCCAGCTGACTGACTCTCTTCTACTAGCAATCCTGGTCTCTTTTTATGACTTTGAGTTCTGGTCCACATTTTTCTCCCACTTGATCCAGAACCTTCTGTTGATCCTTTTCAGAACAGTTGATGGTAGCAGTCAGGCAACATCAAGTTCTGGCCTCAGGATTGTGGAGACTGAAGTTTGCAGGGTCCACCAGACGAATGCGTTTGTTTCTGTGTTCCTTTCGATGTTCATCACTCTTCTTTCTTCTAGAGCAGTGGTTCTCCACCTTCCTAATGCCGGGACCCTTTCATACAGGTCCTCAGGTGGTGGGGACCCCCAACCATAACATTATTGTCGTTGCTACTTCATCACTGTCATTTTGCTACTGCTATGACTCGAGTGGCCCCTGTGAAAGGGTCGTTCGACCCCCACAGGTTGAGAACCGCTGCTCTAGACAGAGAAAGACTAATGGTGCCACCTTAGCTATCCGGCTGCTCTGGAGCCTCTAAGACCCCCTTGCTACTCACCCGAGTAGGATGTAAAATATTGGCCACTAGACCTCAATGCCCCTGCCCACCCTGGTCCTGATCCCCAGTTACCTGAGACTTTTGGACAAGTCATCAGGAGGGATGTGTCACTAGAACCATGACATCCTGTTGGGTAGAGTGGAGGGCCAGTGAAGGGGAGGGGACCCCTCAATGAGATGGATTGACATGATAGCCACCCCAGTGGACTCCAATATGCTAATGACCGTGGAGATGGAGCCGGACCAGGTGTCACGTCCTGCTGTCACATGAGCTTGTAAGGTCAGTGGTGACTAACAACAACTCCTACCCCTACCTCTAGCCCTTTTCCTGGGGCCTCCCCTCCCCAGCCCCAGCTGTCCTTCCCCCTCCTTTGACTACGTCATCACTCAGGTGACTGGTGGGCTCACCCACACACTTGTCTCCCAGGCCGCTTGTGGAGTCCCAGGAGGGCATAACTCAGAAGGCAAACACCAGAGATGGGTGTATTTCTTAAGAAGAAAATGTATAGCACTTGTAGCAAAATGTCTTGAAGAGGGATCCCTTTATCTCATTCACACGAAGCTGAGTTCCGGGCTGGCACAGGTCCTGACTCAACGGACCCATCACCTCTGGATCTTAGTGTCTGTATTCAAAACCCAGCTGCCACGGAGCCGACTCCGACTTGCAGACGAAGACGAGCATATTTCTGAGAGAACTTGCCGGTAGCCGTGCCCTGGCCTCAGAGCCAGGGTAAGCCTCTTTGTCGGGAGCAAGCCTGTGCGGTTTTGAACTGTGACTCCAGGAGCAATCCTTTCCCACTCACCCTCAGCCTTTGAGGACTTCGTTGTAAAGACCAGGGGCCAGATGGTAGATGTTGTTTTTCTCTTTGGAGACATACAATTTCCATAGCAACTACTTAACTGCTTGGAGCACATAAACAGCCCCAGACAATGAAGACATAAGTGAATGAGTGTTCCAAAGAAATGACTTATGAACACTGACACTGGAATTTGACATAAATTTCATGTGTCGTGAAGGGTTGGTCTACACTGCCCCTCCACTGAGAGATCTAAAACCGGTTTAAAGCTTGTTAGCCATACAAGCATGAGGAACAGACCAGATTTAGCCAGCAAGCTGTCATTGGCCCAGTTACAGATGACTTCCACGTTTGCTGCTAACTCAGGTCCTTGAGGTTATGTCTAGTTTGACTAGAAATGAAAAGTCATGTTAGTTTAAGTATTAACCCCATTGATCAGTTATTTATTTTACAAATTAGAACCAGGCGTCTACTTTTGGAAAGCCCTATAAGAAAGGAAGTGAATGACTTGTGCAAATAACCCCTCTCCCTCTCGCTTGGGTAACAGGCTTGCCTTAGCAGGCACTTGACTGCATTTGAACAGAGAAGGGGCCTCATGGGATTTGACCTCAAGATGTCTTTGCTGCAGAGCGGCAGCTTTGGGGGCTCTTGGTCAGCCTGGCTTTGGGTTCATGCTGGCTCTACTCTCGGAGGAAGTAGCTGTGGACCCCTGGCCTCTGAGGGGCATCTCAACGGACTTTGGTGGCCTTCAACCGGGACTCAGAGCTTTCAACGAACAGGGCAGCAAACCATAGTGACCTCCTACTCCATGCTCCTAGACAGATTCTGCCCCCACACCAGGGCAGTCTTCTCAGGATCTGGCTCGAAAGGCCTTGGACAGCCTGCACCCTTTCTCCTTGGCTCTCGCTCTTCTTTCTGCCATGGCCATTTCTTCTCTCCCATCAGCCTGCTGGCCCCAGAGGATGCTCTGCTACTGTGGCGCTCCCACGTGATCTGAGAAAGTCTTTATAATGTCCGTCCCCTGACCTGGTGGTACAGGGAGTTAGATAGACTGCTGACAGGTACGCAGTTCAAACCTACCATCTGCTGAGGGAGAAAGGCGGCATTCTATTCCCATAGATTGACCCTCAGTAGGGAGCAGTTCTCCTCTGCCCCGTAGGATTACTCGTTGGCAGTGAGTTTTGTTTTTGTCTTGTCTACCTACAATTGCTTTACCTTAGTAAATACATGAAATGAATGGCTTTAACAGATTTATTCGCTGATAGTGTATGGGGTTAGAAGTTCAAATTCAGGGTGCAGTAATTACGTATTGGGCTGCTAACCACAAGGTCAGCAGTTAGAAACCATCAGCCACTCCTTGGGAGAAAAATGAGGCTCTTTACTCCCCAAAAGAGTTAGTCTTGGAAACCTCCAGGAGCAGTTCGTCTCTGTCTTGTAGGGTCACTATGCACCAGAATCGACCAGCTGGCCGTGAGGGTTTTTTTTTGAGCTGTTAGCTGTGTCAGCTTGAGGCAAACTGACCACAAAGTGACCCCATCTTGGTGACGGCTGAGTGACCTCCTCCTTCCCCTCCCATCTTGGAAAGTCTCCCGAGAGGTTGATTTTAGAATGTACTCTTGTGTTCCCAAGATCAGGACATTGCAATTAATTTCATTGTTCTTCAATAGTGTTCCTTTTGATGCTGTCATCTGAAGGCTGTGACTAATTTTGTTATTAATATTGTTCCTTTTTGATGTTATGATCAATCCTGTACCCTGCAGCACTCAAAGAATAACATAATTTCTGCTTTTGTCTTATCTGCTCGCTATATAGGAAAGCTCCTGATCAGTGGGTTTTGCCTATCAAGCTGGCTATCATCTCCACTCAGGACTGCAATCTAAAGACTCGCCTATAGTTCCTGCAGTCTGGTTAGCCGATTAAAGACTCTCCTAAATTTCAAGCCATTTTAGTGGCTGTCATGTATCTGAACCCGCAACAAGCTCCGTGAGAAGCTCGTCTCCTTTAGCTTGTGCTCCCAGGCCATCTTCCTATGTTCTGGTATCAGTTTTCCCCTGGGTTTAGGAGGCTCTCAGCCTAGGGAACCCGGGTGCAAAGGCTACGGCTTCTTTCTTGGTAGTAGTCAGGTTTCTTCTTTCTCTGTTCACTTCTCGTATCTCTGATAAGACACAAGGTGATGCAGCGCACATTCCAGGAACACCCCTTTACATCATGATCACATCAGTTCAATTGACGAGCATAATCACATCATTACACTGAGAACCATGGCCAGACAAGTTGACGTATATTTGAGGGGGTGGGAGGGGGGACATAATTCAGTTCATGACATTCTTTCTCCAAACTTGTGCCAATTCAAGGCAAACCTACTAGTTGTGGGTGGATGCTACCCTGGATGGCCCATCAGCCACCTGTCAATAGTTTCTATAAGGTGGTGTAGTGGTTACCCATTGGGCTAACTGCAAGGTCAGTAGTTTGACACCATCTGCAGCTCTGAGGGAGAAAGACAGGGTTTTCTACGCTCGTAGATTTAGTCTCAGAAACCCGCAAGGGCAGTGCTTCCTTAGGATTGCTATGGGTCAGCATCTAATTCGATGGCAATGAGTTTCGTTTGAGTATGGTTCACATGTTGTTGTAATGCTGGAAGCTATGCCACTGGTATTTCAAATGCCAGTGGGGTTACCTATGCTGGCCAGGTTTCAGAGCTTCCAGACGAAGAGAGAGGACAGGTCTGGCAGTCTGCTCTAGAACATGAACCAAGGAAACCCAGTGGATCACAAGGGGACATTAGCTGGACTCACTAGCTTTGGATCTACTTCTAGCCATCGTGCTGGGAGAAACTGGGCCAGAGAGGGTATAGGAGACACTTGGTGCGATGGACTGGCATGTTAGCTGAACAAGGGCGGTAAAATGCCAGGGATCGGAGGATGATGCGGGTTGGACAATGCTTCGCTGTTGTACACCAGGTTGCCATGATTTGGATTGGACTTGATGGCAGCTACCCACAGGGGGTATCAAGGGGTCTGTGGAATAATCCAGTATGTCTTCATTCCATTTTAGGTTAGCCAACAACTAGGTCCTTATCAGCAGTATGGCATCCCTGGCACACAGGCAGGTCCAGCAGCTGGCTCTACAAGCTTCACATACCTGCAGTCAGCAGCTCCTCTCCACCAGCCTGACCCCCAGGCACTGTCAATATAAAACTGCCTGCAGGGGCTTCTTGCTAAAGCCAACCAAACAGCAACTGTGTCATTTTGAGTGGAAGATGGAATGAGGTTACTGCACATCTATTTCTTTGATGTGAACCATCCTTGAAATGGGATTTATATTCATATTCTTTAAGCCCACCCTCATCCTGATACCAGTAGATGGCAGGCTCGAAGGATGCCGGACTGGTTTATTAGTTAATCCTCCTGACTGCTCACAAACGCGTGCCTTGGCCAACACAGGGTGACTCACCACATACAAATGAAGTACTTGAGCAGTCTCTGAAAACACCTTTTCCTGGACGCAAGTGACACACTCAGCAAAGTTATGCTGCGTCCCCTAAGGCCTTGGCAGTGCTACAGCGTGTTACTTTAGGAAGCAAAAGGATGGGTGTTGTAATTCTAGAGCGCTGAGAAGACAAAGTAAAGAAGACAGAGTGGAGGGAAAAGACTTCACAGAGACTTTTGAAAAACTTAACTGTACAATATTTTATTTCTAGCTTTAAAAAACAAAGCAAAATTTAAATTACTAGGAAGATATGTACAGAAGAAACCATTTTTTCTTCAAGCCAGCAGACTGGAAGGGAAGGGCAGCCTGGATCCGAGGCTGGAATTGGCTGCAGAGGCTCGGAGACTCGCCCCAGGTTCCTGGCTCCGGGGCAGCGCCCAGGACAGAACGCAGCATCTAGAACCCGCCCAGCCAACCGTTCTCTCCTTTCCAGCCTTCCTCTCAGCCAACGCTCAAAAAATCCAAGCAGGCGAGATGTACCACAGTATCTTGCTAAAAAGGAATCACATGCCCTTTTAGTGTTTAAGAAAAAACAACAACCGTATTTTTTGCCCCTGGGATATCTTTGTAGGCACTGGTATCATTTAAAAACTCTTAGGGGAAAAAGCAGTCAATCTCTGCCTGAAGAGTCACTCCCTTCAGGGGCTGGCGTGGGCTCTGTGGGGGCAGGAGGATGGAGCTCCGTTCTCTGTAAAGCCCAGCTGAGAATGTCAGCAGTGGCCCTGGCCCAGCACCTCTTTCAGGGGCCGGCTGAGCTGGGCCGGCCCGAGTCGGGCCAGCACGGTGGTTGGAAGTGCATTAGAGAGCATCTTCTGGTTCCTTTCCTGGGAGCGACAGGATGGACACAGAGACCCAGGCGTCCTCCTTTGGCGAACTCTCCTTATCCAGGGCCTCCAACACAGGATGAGCTGGGTCATTTAAAAACTTGAACAAGAAAAAAAAAAAGAAAAAACAAGAAAACAAAACTTGAACAGCTTGAAAAACAAAATTGTATTTACTTTATCCCTTCCACACAGCAGATCTCCCATTACTTCCCTGGGCGGAGTTATATGTTATGCACACGTAGTTTTCTACTCAGCCTGCCCACGAGGTGACCCTGAAAACCTGAGCACCCTGCACTACCTCGCAGTTCATGAATAACTTTAATACTAACTTATTCAAAGGGTCAACCAAGCGAGGATTCTGAAAGTAAAGAAGCGTTAACTGGGGAAGGGACAGTCCTTACTTGCTACGCTGGGTGCAGCGCCGCCCCCTGCAAACCCACTGCTCCCTGCTATCGGGGCAACCCTGTGGGTGACAGAGGAACACCACTCCATGGGGATTCCGTGGCTGCTATCTTTACACAAACAAATCGCCAGGCTTTCCTTTCATAGCAACACAGGTGGGTGGGTTCAAATCTCTACCCTTTAGATGAACAGTCAAGTGCAAACAATGTAGACCACCCAGGGACCATGAACCCAAACGGAAACAGAAATACCATATGAGCTAGCAGTCCCATTACTAAGTGTCAATCCTGGAGAAATAAGAGTATGCCACACACAGATGTATGCACGCCCTGGTTCATCACACCATTCCTCACCCAAGCAAAGAAAAAAGAAACCCGCCCACATGCCCATCGATGGATGAATGGATAAACCACAGGGCACGCACCCCAGGGAAGACTGCAAGTTCAAGAACTGTGAAATAGCTCCCAACAAGAGGAAACCTGGAGGACGTGACGCTGAGTGAAATGAGTCAATTACAGAAGGATACATATTATATGATACACTATTATAGAAAGTCCAGAAAAGTTGAGGCACCCAAGGAAACCATTCTTTGATGGTTGATAGAAATAATCCACTGGTCTGACAGACTGGTGAGACCCCAAATCTGTGGTCCTCAGACACCCTTCAAGCCTGGACCTGACCCTGCCTCGGATCAACCTGCAGTCAAACTGTAGAAACCCCTGCAAAGTGAGTAGCAACACCAGAAGAGTCATACTCGGTTTACAATCCACCGTACGAGACCAGAGGGCAACACTTACCCCTGAGCAAAGCTCAGAACACAGGAAGGGCAGGAAGATGAACGGGAAACTAATCTGCTCTTTAAGCTATCACACAAGCCATAGGGGGAAAAAGCGAAAAGAAAACATTGACAAAAAAATGGGGGTGGACGCTGGAAAGACACCAAAACCAAATTGCTGTCAAAAAGAGACCCTGGAAATTGCTTTTGAAAGTACAGTAGGTAAAGCAAATAAAATATTTTTAAAAAGTAGAAGAATTGAATGGAAGATTTCAAAGGGCGGCTTGAGAAGACAAAGTATTGTGATGAAATACACAGAGACCTGGACTTAGAACATCAAGAGGGAAGATTGTGCTCAGCATCTCTCAAGCTGAGAGAAGGGAAAAGAAACAGTTCAGCTCTGAGTTGCACTACTGAGGGATCCTATGGGCAAGATAGTGAATGTCACAGAAAACGTCAAGAGAAGATGAAAGGATTACAGAGTTATTTTACCAAAAAGAATGAGTAGACACTCAACTGTCAAGAAGTGGCATATGACCAAGGGCCGATGGTACTGACGGAAGATAGCTAAGCTGCAATGATGCCATGGATGAAATAGAAGATTCCAGGAATTGACGGGTTCCAATTGAGATGTTTCAAAAAAATGCACACAATGCTGGAAGCACTTACTCATCTATGCCTAGACATTTGGAAGACAGCTACCTGACTAGCTAGTGAGAAGAGATCCATATTTGTGTCCAATTCAACAGAATATGGAAATGATCAAATAACATCATTAATGTCAAGTAAAATTTTGATGAAGCTAATTAAAAAATGCCAGAAATTCAAGTCAGATTCAGAGAAGGACACTGAAAGAGGGTTCGTATCGCTGATGCTAGATGGATCTTGTCTAAAAGCAGAGAACACTAGGAAGATGTTTACCTGTGTTTTATTGGCTATGCAAAGGTTTTGCAAACTACGGATAACGTTGCAAAGAATGAAATTCTAGGACACCCAGTTTTGTAATGAGGAAGCTGTACCTATTCAGACAAGCAGTCGCTTGAAAACAAGAGGAACCCTGGCTGGTTTAAAGTACCCTCTGACCATACTTACTCAATGAAAAAACCATGACATCAGGATTGGAGGAAGGCTCATTTACAACCTGGACTATGCAGATGACATAACTTTGCTTTCTGAAAGCTGAGAGGATTTGAAGCACTTACCAGCAGAGATCAAAGACTATAGCCTTGGGGGAGAGGGGCAGAGGAAGGGCGTGGGAGGAGGGAAAAAAGGAAAATGAGCGGATTCCGGGAACCCAAGAGGCAAGCGAATTTTGGGAATGATGAGGGCAACAAATGTATAGATGTGCTCTACACAATTGATCTATGTATTGTGATGAATTTTATGAGCCCCAATAAATTGATTAAAAAAAAAAAAGACTATAGCCTTTAGTCTGGATTACAGCTCAATGTAAAGAAAACAAAGATCCTCACAAGTAGACCAGTACACCACACCACAATCAAGGAAGAAAAGATTGAAGTTGTCCAGGGTTTCATTGTGTTGGGGTCCACAATCACCACTGAGGAGAGTAGCAGTCAGGAGATCAAACAACACCGTCCTGGGCAAATCTGCTGCAAAGACATCTTTATAGTGTGAAGAGCAAGGAGGTTACCTTGACGACTAAGGTATTGCTTCACAGGCAGGTGAGAGCTGGATGATGAACAAGAACCAAGAAGAACCAATGGGTAGGAATTCTGATGCTGGTGAAGGAATGGCATAGACCACTGACTTCCAGAAGAATGACCAAATTGGTCCTAGAAGAAGTACAGCCAGGATGCTCCACAGAAGCCAGGGTGGCAAGACTACATCTCATGCACTTTGGACATGTCGTCAGGAGAGACCAGTTCCTGAAGGATACCAGGCCGGCTACAGTAGAAGGACAATGAAAAAGAGGAAGACCCCGACGGAGATGGACTGACAGGGCAACTCCAACAATGGGCTGAAACATAACAATGGTGAGGATGTTGCGGGACCACCAGGCAGTATTTCACTGTGTGCCACGCAGAGTCGCTATGGATTGGAAGTGACTGGATTATACCTCATGTACAAGCTCTTGGAAATGCTGAAAGATGTTGACATATAAGAAGCTCAGAGCTGCCCGTGTTGATAGAGGAACAAGTAAATCATGTGCACTTGTGAAACCCTCAAAAGTACATGTGAAACAGGGTTCACGATCCTCCTGGAACTCCTCTGGCTTCTGCGACATGCTCACCACTTTCCCAGGAGCCGACCGAAAGTCTTTGTTCTAGACTCATGCTAACCACGAGCAACAGTTAGTAGCAAGTTTGCATAGGAGAGCTCACCTGGTAGTATGAGCGAGATTATTAATGCAAAATAATAAGCAAAATTCTGAGTTCTGTACTGAGAGTTCCTATTTTGTGAAAATATTAACCAGGGAGACTCGGATAAATTTCCTCACCCCCCTGAAAGAAGAAACAATAACAACCCCATTGTCATCAAGTTGATTCCGACTCATAGCAACCAGAAGCCAGGAGAGGCAAGAGGCGGCAGCAAGCAGCTCCTCGCAGAGCTCAGGAGGCGCTGACACCCTGATGGGACGCCCAGCTCCTGGGACGACGCAGGAACGCATTCCTGTTCCGGAAAGTCACCCAGTTCGTGGAGTTTTCTTACACAGCCCTCGGAGACCAAGACTCAGCTATTTTGAACTCGAATCTCGGGGTCCACAGCTTTGTCTACACCCTTAGGCGGGTGGTGATGGCCCAGCACATCACTGGGTTGGATGTGGCACACATACCTCTTCTATCTGTAATGGGATCTTGGGTGGAGAGTGAACCCAATACTTAATCACGCCTCTGTACTTCAGGGCCAAGAAGAAGCAGACCGTTATTAGCAGCGTCACCGACAGGAAGATTCCCACAAAGATCAGGATGGCTTGTTGGAGCTGAGTGGCAGCTAAAAAGAGTACACAAACGTGAAAAAGGCAATTTCCCCTCACTTTTCAGTACAGGATTCACATTTCAGTATAACGGGCAGGTGCCCTTACCCCCGAATGGTTAAGCGCAGGGGTGGGGAATCTTTTACCTGCTGAGGGCCATTTGGGTATTTGTAACATTGTTCACGAGCCACATAAAATTATCCACTTAAAAAGGAGCCTGCTGAATTTGGTCAAACATTTAATAAACTCACCCCTAATGTGATGGCTAGAACGGCTTCTTTGGTGAGGCGTGTGGCGTTGGCTGGTCTGGATGATTTTATATGACGTGGGCTGGACGTTCCCTACTTCTGGCTTAGATTAACAGCCACTCAAGGCACTCCTATAACTTGCAGTCTTAGTGCTGGGCAACTTTTGCTACTGTAGAGCTCAGCACACGCTCAGTATTTCTGTAGCTAGGTGCCCTCCCGTCAGCCCCTTCCCTATGTCTCCTCAGCTCCACTTAATAAATATTCCGACTCCACTACTCTTCCCCTTTACATCATTTTATTGGGGAGGGGATTACACTATTTTAGGGGTAGTCTTTTTCCAGCTCAGAAAGGACATGAGAGACAGTCTCCTTACCATTTGCTGATGTCTTGTAGCAAGATGGGTTGCTTAAACGCCCCGGTTGAAAGATACTTTTTAATGGCCACACCAGTTCTGCCTTGACTTGAAAACAGTATACACTTAAGGGTTTTAAGCCATCCAGCAAAATGAAATTGTTCTTGATGGGACCTTTCACCTATTTAAAAGACACCAACAACCACATATGTAAATCGCCAAAGTAGGTTCATGCTACTTGCATCTCTTCCAATCTGGGTCCTCAAACTCACACTTAACACAGTCAACTGAATAAGGCGATGGGGTTCTTCTGAAGTCCCAAGCAGAGGTAGAGGGAGCGAAGCCCGGAACTGACGCCTCGGAGCGTGCTGAGCCGAGACCTCAGAGGGCCCCGTGCTGTCCCCTCTGTGCCACAAGGGTGACATCAAGGGGAACGTTTTCTCCTTTACAAACGGACATGTTGTCCTTCACGGAGATACTGCCCGTTAGGCAACAGAGAGAGCGCGAGCAATTGTTCTACGAGTTAATTTTCATTTAATCCCGAATCTGCTTCTAGTTTGAGTTGCTCTCCTTGCCGATTGGAAAGTTTACTTTCATCTACTAAGTCAGAAACCCCAAAGATAGGAAAACAGAAGACAAAGCGGAGGAGAATAAGAAGAAAAATGAGAAGAACGCTCTTGCCTGTTGGGTTCCGGCCTCTTCCCAGTAATAGACGTAATACTGGAAAGCCACCATGGAGGTGTCGATGTCAAAGGGAGTGGAAATCCCGATGATAAGTGAATCTTCCTCTGTTGACACCCTAATGTTTTCTGGAGGCCCGATGGTCACTGAAATAGAGTAAAACCAACAAACAGCTCATCTGGTCACTGAGAGGTGTTCATATATGCACCGCCCACTATAGTGTTTTCTTCTGAGCGTCAACCAAGTGTGCAGACCCCTGAGATAGTTCGAGGTGGCTCTGACACTGGGCTGGCGTGGGCGGAGCCAGCACAGGCCCAGCCCAGCTGCCACGCATCCCAATGCTTCACTTTCTGCGAGGAAGGGGTCCTCTCAGCAGCGCACGCGCAGCTTGACACCGTGAGACTCTTGGGGGCCCAGGAGAAGCCCAGTGGCCCAGAGTGGAGGTCCACAGGTACAGAGGCCTCTCGACTCATACGAGCTAATGTCCTGTGTAACGAGGCCACAAAAAGTCTCCAGGATCCCCCTGAGGTCATGCCAGTGACAAGAACCACTGCAGCGCCCACCGCAGCCACAGGCACGGCTTCCGAGCAGGTAGTCAGGGCTCTGTAGCTCCGCTGCAGTAAGCCCAGCAGTGGTCACCTTCACAATTAGCCGGTGCTGCCTGTTTATATAGAAGGAGCCCTGGTGGTATCATGGTGATGAGTTGGACTGTGATCCTCAAGGTCAGCAGTTCAAAACCACCAGCTGCTGCCAGGGAGAAAGAGAGAGGTTTCTACTCCTGAAAAGAGTTACAACAGTCTTGGACACTCACAGGAGCCGTACTACTCTACCCTCTAGGATCACTATGAGGCAGCATCAGCTGGATGGCGATGAGAGTGTGAGCCTGTCAATAAGGTGACACCACACCTTGATCGAATTTTCAGAGAAACAGAGATGGACAGTTAGCTGAAGGTCAAATTCTCAGGGAGAAGGGAATCAATTTTGCTACATCCCTTACCTGCAAGATGTACTTCAAATTTCAATATAAGTGAGCAAACATGGTACTTATAAATCTTTAAATGCATCTGTCTCTGCGTCTAGCGTAAATGCAGCACTCAGTCTGATAAGAAAGGAGGACTAGGAAGAAGAGCCGGAGATCGACTGCTGAAAAACTCAGCCATTAGAAGCTCTTCAGAGCACAGTTCTGCTCTGGCAACCACGGGGGCAGGGACCCGCTGTGAGTCACAGCCGCTCTGCTGGCAACTGGTCAAGTCTTTTAGTTAAGGCTATCCCTGTATCTCCCAAGACAGGCACAGACTGGGATTCATTAGTGTGATAAGGAAGAGGCCCGAGTGTTCACATTGTGGTCACTGACTCCAAGCCCGCAGATCAAAGTGCAGGTCCTAAGAGGCCTGTCTTTGCACACTGTGCACACACAGATGGCCATACTGGCAGTAGGTGGGGGCTTAAACAAGTCCGGGGGGAAATGCCATGATCTTTTCATTCCATGGAAGCCCTGTGGTGTTCTCTAGGCTCCCACTTAGCTACTTGCCGCAGAGCTAGGTAGGTAGGTGAGGGTGGATGCCAGCCTGGACGAGTCACTGAACTGCCGAAAGGGCAGGGCTAAGAGCTGTCTCCTGACGAGCCCTGTGCTGAAATAGTGACTGTGACCAGGGAAGCCACTATGCTCGGACCCCATCTAGCACGGTGATCAGCAGACCTTTCCCTGGCAGTCAATTGAGGCCAGGTGGCCCTATTGGACAGAAACAAAGGGCTACACCGGTGTGCACACACAACTTTCTTTACAGGGAAGAAAACCTGGATGTGGAGAAGGAAGTTTCCCACCCGGGGTCCCTCACCATTGCGGTAGTGTTCAAACCACGGTACCGCCGCCCAGGCGGAAACCAGCTCTCCCAGCTCGGCTCGGACACGCAGGGAGACGTTGAAGTGCCTGGGAAAGCCCTGCCAGTGGCTGGCCGCCGTGAAGTTGCAAGCTGGGATCCTGGTACAGTCCACCTGGGTCAGGTCGTCCCACTCGCTGTTGGAGCTGGAAAGGAACAAGGGTTTCAGTGTACAGAGTCCCCTCTTCTTCGCACGGATCCACAGCTTTCCCGGAGCGCCTTTTCGAAACGGCTTCCCTGATGTATAATACGACTCCCTGGAGTCCTCGGGTGGGGTGGGGGGTGGGGGTGGGGTGGCTCAGCTCAACTCTCCTCAACTGCTAGAGGAGAGGTGGGCTGTTTGAACCCGCCCAGAAGGACCTCAGAAGGCAGACTTGGCCATCTGCTTCGGAAGGGTCACAGCCTTGCCAACCCACGGAGCAGTTCGACTCTGTCCCCGGGGTTACCATGAGGTGGAATCCCGGATAGCCACTGACAGCAACAGCACACCCCACCCTTGTGTTAAGCTTGCAGCTCACCGGGTTTCAGAGGGGTTTGCAACTACCACCATCTAGCTGAGGGCATTCCATCATCTCCCAAAGATACCTTGTACCCCTTTGCAGCTACGCCTCCTTCCCGGCAGCCTCCGCTGTCACGTGCGCTCCCCCCTTGCCAAAAAAAACAAACAACCCCCAGTCCTCAGCAACCACTAACCCTCTCCTTTCTACCTCTAAGGAGTTGTGTCTCTTGGACATTTCTTTACATGGCCTAGTACACTATGTGGTCGTTAGTGAGTGACTAGTTTCTCTGACCTAGAATAGTGCTGTCAAAGGCCATCCATGTGGTAGGATGTAGCAGAACATCACTCCTTTTTACGCCCAAGTAATATTCCATTGCACAAACGATTACCCATCGGCTGATGGACTTGGGGGTTGCTTCCACTTTCTATTATTATTTCTATTATTATTTCTATTATTGTATGAAGGGGCTTCAAAGAGTCTGTGGGATGATTTTATTAAACTCCATTTTCCATGCACTTTTGTCCCCTCCGGTACTTAGCATGTGTAACTCTGGAATGAACATTCATGGTCACAGATTGTTAATCTTCTTGGCCACATATCTAACTCTTAACTGCCAAACTGGCTCCCAAAGGGGAGGCACCGCTCCACAATGCAGCAGTGTATGTATGAATGCTCGTTTCCCTGCAGCCGCGTTCACATGTGTTCGTGTCGTTTTGATCACAGTGGTGCTGATGGGTGTGAAACAGCGTTATGACATCGTGCGTCATTTTTACAGTCATTTCCGTGATGGCCGATGACGCTCCTGAGCTCAGTCTCATGTGCTTCCTGGCCATTGGTATATCCGTATCTTCTTTGGAGAAATGTCTGTTCAAGTCTTCTGCTGATTTTTAAATTGGGTTTGTTGTTTGCCGCTTAATTAAAAAAAAATCTATTTAACCGCTTTATTTACATATACATTCAGGTAACAACAATTCAGTGGTTTTACCTATACTAAAAAAGTGTTGTGCAAATCATCACTACCGTCACTTTTGGATCATTGTCTTCATTCTTGTATCTTTTATTATTAGTTCCTCATCCCCCATGCCCAACCTTCCCTGTCATCATCCTGAGAAACTACTAATCCAGTTACCATCTCTATAGAGATACCTATCCTGGATTTCACAGAAAGAAAATCATAAAACAAACAAAAAGGAATAAAAACAAAAACAAACCCAACAACAAAATAAAACATAGAAAAACCTTAATCCAAAAGTAAGCATCAATAATAAAATAAAAACTAGAACAAAGGATAAGATGTGGAATTTTCACCTAACAATACCTGCAGTATCCACTTCTCAACACATTCTACCTGGGGCATGATTACTCACATCCCTGGTCTGTGGTCTGTGGGAATTCAATGGAAGTTTACATTTCTGGATATAAGCCCCTTATCAAATACATGACCTGCAAATAGTTTCTGCCATTCTGTCTTAAACATTCATAGTTAATGTCTGATCTTATTACTACAAGTTAGTCCATTCCCTGGAGTGAAAGGCCCTGTGCTATAAAGGCCAAGTCCACTTATGCTTCCTCCTCACACTTTCTGCCATTGAGCTGATTCTTTCAGGGAACAGAAGGCCTCATCTTCCTCCTGTGGAGCGGCTGGTGGGTTCAAACTGCTGACCTTGTGGTTAGCAGCCCAGCGTAGAACCCACTACACCATCAGGGCTGCTCTGTTCACACTACAACAGGCAGTGAGTTGTTTGTTCAAAGAGGATTTGTCCTCACCCCTATGAATCTCTGCCAAAGGCAGTTACGCGCGTGACCTTGTCAGTGAACATGGTTTTACAGCATTTCAAAGCCACACCCCCATGTGGGAGTGTGGTCCCCAGCTCTGACCTCTGTCCTTGTAGGTGCCACTTGAGAAAAGCTGGCAGGTGGCTCCTAGGGTTTTCTCCTCTAGGGATAGATTGCAACGTCTGGCCTAGAGGGCACACAGTCCGGGGATTCTGCCTTGTTTCCAGCCACTGGCCTCCACGCACTATGGAGGTGTGTAGACGTGCCTCTGGCCGGGGCTCAGACTTCTGTTAAGTGTCAGGTGATGTGAGGAAAGCCCCTTGAAGATGTGTGGCCAGGTTTCCACATTAGATGCTGGCATCCCCGGTGCCATAAATACGGGGTCACAGGGTCCCAAATCTCCTCTGATGGTTTCAGGTGCACGGATACCTTCACTCACTGCTATCGAGTCAACGCCGACTCAAAAAGACCCTACAGGGGAGGGTATAGAACTGCCCCGGTGGGTTTCCGAGACTGTAACTGTTAATGGGATTAGAAAGCCCAGTCTTTCTCTCATGGAGCGGCTGGTGGTTTTGAACAGTTGGCCTTGGGAATCACAGCCCAATAAAGATAACTCGAAGGTCCTCCCTTCATCCCTGATAATGAGCTTGGTTAAAAGTCCCCTAGAGTTTAAGGGCTCATTCCCGGACGAATTTCCCCCTCCCCGCACCCTTCCACCGCCTCTTCCGCTCTCTAACCATACCACTTTCTCAGAACCACCTAAAAAAAAAAATTTCTCCGAAAATAAGTTGAGAGAGAACCCACCGACATTTAAATGATAACGTGTGCACACGTACGTGAACGGGTGAGACAGGCAGCCAGCGGTTTGGGGGAAGGGACAGTGGGAAAGGAAGCTGTGCACTGAGTTCCCGCTCCCAGCCCCATCGATTTGCAGATTAAAAACACTAGGAGTCCCTGGGTAGAGCAGCCGGCCAGTGCCCCTGGTTGCTAAAGGCAAAGGTTTGGTCCAGTTGCCTCCCAGAAGGACTGGTGACCTGCTGAGAACCCAGCCTGTGAAAACCCTCGGGCACGGGAGGGGCCCAGTTGTGCTGGGATGCAGCAGTTCTTGATCTTTCTGGCAGGATGTGCCCGGGTTAGTTAGGCCCTGCCCTCCCACAGAACCTTGATGAGCGCAGCCCAGAAGAGAGGTCCCTCTCATCCAGAAGCTCGTTCAACCTTTTAAAAGAATTTATAGACATTTCGCAAGAGGCAGGGAAGGCATTTCCAGTTACAAATCACAGTGCGTCAGGGTAGGAGCCCGTAGGGGTTTCAAAAGCTGGATAAGAAGTCTTTGGAGGTACTTGGTTAGCAGCCCAGCGCATGAGCTGTTTGCACTACACAGGGACTTTAGCCCCACCCCAGGCCAGTCTCCCCCTTTCTCTCTCACTGCCTGCAAGGGCCAGGCACTGTCATGAAGATAAACCAAATGCCCTCTGTCGAGTCTGATTCAGAGCAACCCTGCAGAGGGTTTCAGAGGCTACGAATCTTTTTCTTTCTTTCTTCTTTTTAATAAATCATTTTATTGGGGGCTCTTACTTGTATTATAACCATACATCCATTACCTCAAGTAGACATGTACAGTTATTGGCATCAGCAACTTCTAAACATTATCTTTCTCCTTGAGCCCTTTGATAGCAGTTCTTTTTTCCCCCCTTCCTCCCCTACACTGCCACCCCCTCAAATCCTTAATAGAGTGGTTCTCAACCTGTGGGCCGTGTCCCCTTTGGGGGTCAAATGATCCTTTCACAGGGGTCACCCGATTCATAACAGTAGCAAAATTAGAGTTATGATGTAGCAATGAAAGTAATTTCATGGTTGGGGGGTCACCACAAAATGAGGAACTGTATTAAAGGGTCGCAGAATTAGGAAGGTTGAGAACCACTGTATTAATATATTATGTATTATTATTATATATCTACCCTTTCAATCCCTTCACCCACTGTCCTGGTATTTTTTCCCTGAGGGGGCTATTCTGCCATCACTGCTATCCATTCCCCCTTCCCTCCCTTCTCCTTCCCCTATCCTCCTGGAATCATCGCTCCCATTACTGTTTCTGAGGGGTTTGTCTTTCCTGAATTCTGTATATTGGAAGCTCTCGTCCGTGAGGCTACAAGTCTTTACTGGAGCAGACAGCCTCATATTTATCCCAAGGAACGATTGGTGGATTTGAACCACTGACCTTTCCGTTAACAGTGTGATCTAACCCACAGCACCACTAGGGCTCCTCTGGTTTTAACGCCCAAATCAAACCAAACTCACTGCCATTGAGCTGATGCCAACTCATGGCGATCCTAGGACAGAGTAGAACTGCCCCTGTGAGGTTCCGAGACTAACTTTGTATGCGAATAGCAAGCCTCCTCTCTCTCCGAGTGGCTGGTGGTTTTCAGCTACTGACCCTGAGGTTAGCAGCCCAACAAGTAACCACTATACCACCAGGATTCCTCCGAGGCTCTAAAGGGGGCAGATCAAACCTCTGGCCTTTTAGCTAGTAGTTAATCAATCAATCAATCAATCAACCACTTGTGCCAAATAAATGATTCAGCTAATACTTTTTTTTGACTTAATCTTGGTGAGGCAACCAAACACCGACTTGGCTCCTTTTTACTACATGTGTTTTTATTGCAAATCAAGTGATGACGCTCCATGGAAAGGCTTACGAAGGCAGTGAGAGAGAGACCGAGGGCCCAGACTCAAGATGGAATGGAAGACCAGCTTAGAGAGCAAGAATGAACTGTAATCAAATGAATGAATTCCTCACCAGGCCACGTTTGGACCATCGGGTTAAACAAACCAGATTTGTAAGCCTGAAGCAGATGAAAACTGCAGGATGTCTCCAGCTCTTTTAAGACAAGGAAGGCCTTTTGGCAAACGCTCTTCCTCAGACCGACAACAGAGCAACCTCCCTCAATTAAGCTGCCAGTGGCTAGAGAGGAAGAGTTAGTTCCCCAGCCTTCAACTGAGTCGGGGTTGTGAATCCATGTCCTTGAAGGCTTTGGCAGTCAAAGTGAAGAAGTGATTGAGAGGTACGTGTTTTCTTTCCTATGATTTTCACAAGAAGAGAGTTTAAGAGAAGAAACTGCTTCTGATGAATCTGTGCAAGTATAAAGGTTGGAGGTTCCGCTCCACCCAGTGGCACTTTGGAAGAAAGTGCTGGCCATCTACTTCTGAAAAACCAGCCCCTGAAACCCTGTGGAGCCACAGCTTGGCACTGACACGTACGGGGCACCCTGGGGGAGGCTGTTAGATGCCTGCGAGTCAGAATTGCCTCGGTGACCTGCTAAGGGGGCTTCAGAATGTTTGTGGAACGTGGAAGGAGTTTCCCACAAACTTTCTGTAACACTGCCCAGTCCTGCAGCACTATCCTCACAATGTTACTATACTTGGGCCCCCTGCTGCAGCCACTATGTCAACCCATCTTGTTAAAGGTCTTTCTGTCCATGCGCTGTCAATCAAGTAGGCACTAGACTGCTCACACTGCAAGGTCGGTGGCTCACAGGAGAAAGATGAGGCTGTCTGCTCCAGTAAAGATTTACAAAGCCTTGGAAACACAATAGAAGGTCATTATGAGTTAGAACTGATTCGGTGATAGTGGTTTTTTAAATTAAAAAAAAAAAAAATCACTGACCCTCTACCCTTCCAAGCACAGTGTCTTCTTCCTCAGACTGGTCCCACCTGATTACATGAGACGAAGCCTTGCTTCTTCTTTTTTTTTTTTTTTTTAACATTTTATTAGGGGCTTATACAACTGTCATCCCAATCCATACACACATCAATTGTGTAATGCGCATTTGTACATCGTTTCTGAAAACATTTTCTCTCCACTCAAACCCCCGACATTAGGTCCTCATTTTTCCCCTCCCTCCCCGCTCCCCCCTCCCTCATGAGCCCTTGATAGTTTATAAATGGGTATTTTGTCATATCTTGCCCTGTCCGACATCTCCCTTCACCCACTTTTCGGTTGTCTGTCCCCCAGGGAGGAGGTCACACACAGTTCCATGTAATTGGTTCCCTCTTTCCTACCCATTCTCCCTTTACCCTCCCTGTTTTGCCACTCACACCACTGGTCCTATAGGGCTCATCCATCCTGGATTCCCTATATTTTCAGTTCCTATCTGTACCAGTGTACATTCTCTGGTCTAGCCAGACTTGCAAGGTTGAATTCGAGTCATGGTAGTGGGAGCAGGGAGGAAACGTTTAGGAACTAGAGGAAAGTTGTATTTCTCATCATTGTTACATCGCAGCCTGACTGGCTCATCTCCTCCCCGAGACCCCTCTGCAAGGGGATCTCCAGTGGCCTACTAATGGGCTTTGGGTCTCCACTCCGCACTCCCCCCATCATTCACTATGGTAAGATTTTTTTTTCTGATGATGCCTTATACCTGATCCCTTCGACACCTCGTGGTTGCATAGGCTGGTGTGCTTACTTCTAAGGAGCATTCTGGCTGGACTTCTTCTAAATAGTTTTCTCGTTCTTGTGGCAGTCCGTAGTACTTTCAGCGATGTTCGCCAACCAGTTCTTCCAAAACACCCACTGCCATCAAATCACTCTGCCTCACTGTCCAGCTTTTCACCGACATACAAGGGGACGGAAAACGCCATGGGGGCCAGGCACCTGTTCGCCCTCAAAGGTACACCTTTGGTCTTTGACACTTGAAAAAGGTGTGCCCAGGGCAACGTGTCGTCCGATTTCCAGACTGCAGCTTCCATGGGTGCTGACGGTGGATTCCAAACCCGAGCCCCAAACTTACTGCCATGGAGGAGAGGCTGACTCGCAGCAGCCCTCCAGGACAAGGACAATGGCCCTGTGGCGTCTGAGACGGTAACTCCTTACAAACGCTTCTTCTTTCCCCTGGAGCGGCTGGTGGTTTAGAACTGCTGACCTTGCAGTCAGCAGCCCAGTGTGCCACCACTAGGCCACTAGGGCATAAAACCCTTCAGAACATCTACTGTTTCCATGTAGCATTATGTGAGTTCTTGGTCCACTGGTAAGGCTTCTGTTCACATGTTAAGAAATAATCCACATGGTCACTGTCATCTTTGATCAGTAAGTACTTCAAAGCCTCTTGGCGTTCAGCCAGCACGGTTGTGTCACCTGAGCTGTGGTTCTCAACCTTCCTCATGCCTTGACTCTTTCACACAGTTCCTCATGTGGTGGTGACCCCAACATTACTTTTGTTGCTACTTCATAACTGTAATTTTGCTACTGTAATGAATCATAATTAAATATCCGATACGCAGGATGTGTTTTCATTGTTACAAATTGAACATAATTAAAGCATTGTGATTAATCACAAAACAATATATGATTATATATTGTGAAATATATGTGTTTTCCGATGGACGTAGGCGACCCCTGTGACCAAGGGGTCACGGCCCATCAGTTGAGAACCGCTGCATCTGTGTATTGCAGGTGGTCAATGAGCCTCCCTCCATCTCGACGCGTGCTCTTCTTCACATGGTCCAGATGTGGGGATGAAATGCTCAGTGTACAGACTACACACGTGCGGTGAAAGGACACTGTGCTGGAGCACACCCTTCCAGATTTTAAACCAGGCAGTTTCCCCTGGTTCAGTTCCAACACCGTCACTGGGGCTCAGCACAGGCTACGGATGAGCACGATGAAGTGTTCAGGAATCCCCATTCTTCTCCAGGTCACCGCCATTTGCCATGAGCCATACAGCTGGGTGCTTTGGCACAGTCAATGAAACCCAAGTAAACATCTTTCTGGTGTTCTAATGCCTCTTGTCGAATGGTGGTGGCATGTGTGTTTCTGTGATGCCGGAAGCTGTGCGACTGGCATTTGAAATACGGCAGGGTCACCCATGGCGGACAGATGGGTTTTAGTGGAGCTCCCAGACTAAGACGGATGTGAAAAAAGGCCTGGGGATCTATTTCTAGGGGGAAGAACACTGGCCAGTGAGAACTACGGCAGAAACTTCTAGCTGGCCTTAAGGCTCCTGATGACTCCTCCCACCCACAAGTGCCGGCAGTGACAGGGGCTTACTATTTATACTGCACCCGGTAGGCCACCGAGTCACTGCTGGAGTCGTTGCTCAGGGTCACCGGCTCCCAACTCAGAACCTGCTCCGCGTTGTACAGGTGAATCTTCAGGTTTTGAGGAGCGGGCAGCTGGGGGAGAGTGTCTGGAGAGGGGCAGAGAAGCAGAGAAGGGAGGGAACATTTAAGTTAGAGAAATACTGAAATGCACAGTACCACAGTCATCCCTAACAACGGAATTTCTGACCAGAAGGAGGAGTGTCAACTGCTCTTCCTGCGCACGACCCCACCCCACCTCTAACTACGCGGCTGGTGCGACTGTCAGCCAGGTGTCAAGTCCGACGCACAGCAACTCTGTGCCCACCGGAGCGTGACACCACGGGCGCCGCGCACACAGTTGTTCCTATGCCTGAGCCCATGGCAACAACCACTGTGGCTTTCCATCTCCCTGAAGAGCTTCCTCTTCATCCACTGCCCCTCCACTTTCCCAAGCATGATGTCCTTTTCCAGGGACTGGTCTCTCCTGATACCATGTCCAAAGTACATGAGATGAAGTCTCTCGCGGTCCTTGCTTCAAAGGAGCATTCTGGCTGTACTTCTTCCAAAACGGATGTTTGTTCTCTTGGCAGCCCATGACCTAGCTGTCAGGAAAAGCAGGGCCTCGAGCTGCCTTTCTGGCGGCAGCCTCCAGTCTTGGGTGCTGTGGTACCATTTGTAAGTAGGTAGGACTGGGCATGCTTCTTAACCTGTTTGTGCCTCCATTTCTGCTTTCGAAATAACAGATAATAGCACACAGTGGCTGCAACAATGGGCTCAGACGTAGCCACCGTGGTGAGGATGGGGCAGGGCTGGGAGAGCTTGGTTCTGTGGGACACAGGGTTGCTATGAGTTGGAACTGACTCCGTGGCACATGATAATACCCACAATGCAACAAGAGTACACTACACAGGGCTGGGTTGGGTACATCGTATGCTTGCGCCCCAGACCTAATACTAAGGAAGGGCTTGGTTCACCTTGACATGACACACTGTGTGACAACCTGTATGTACAGGTTGTCTTAAAGTCTGCCTCCAGATTCCATGGAGCCACAAGACCGCTAGGATGAGGTGTCCACCTGGTGGCGTTAGCCGCTCCACGGTGTCACGTCCACGCAGTCTGCCAGCGCTGCACGCATGACGGACTCATCAAGTGGCGGCAAGGGAGAGCAGTTTACTCTCTCACAGAGAAGAGGCAGCACGTGGCAGGGACAGTTCCCTAGCCAGCAGGTTCCCCCCACCCGCCCTCCCCCTGCAGCTCAGAAGCTGCCTGGGTGGAGAGGGAAACTTCTCCATGTGCCCCCACTGGGCACTGTAGCTAAAGGACTGGGAGGTCTCTCTCCCAGCCAGGTGTAGACTCCTGAGGCTACAGGCCTCGCTGCAGGGCACGCATGGAGGATTTCACGCTCACCACCTGAGAGGGGGAGCTAGAGATCTGGGCACCAGGGGGGTTTCATTACTTGAGCCCTGCTCAGGGCCTGAGGGTGGGGTGGTGGTGGTGGGACAGGAATGGGCAGGAGGAGGGTTTGTTCCCAAGCCTAAGGACTCGGGGTCAAATAGGTCTTCTGGGTGTCACCAGCGTGGGAGGATTTCTCAAGACCCCCAGCATCAAAAGCTTTGCAAAGAACTCAGCCATCAAGTCGATGCCGACTCGTGACAAGCCTGCAGGGCTGGGAGGAACTGCCCCTTGTGAGTTTCAGAGGCTGGACCACTTTACGGGAGTAGAAAGCCCATCTCTCTCGTGGAGTGGCTGGTGGTATTGAACTGCTCACCTGTCTGATTACAGCCCAGCTCACTGTGCCGAGGCACACCTCAGAGCCCAGCTTCCCAGGCTTCTTTCCAGTCAGGAGGAGCTGCCTTTATTTTTTTTAACTTTTTATTGTCAGTTAGGTGAAGGTTTATAAAGCAGATCATGACTTTTGCTATCAACAATCTATATGCATTTTGTTCTAATGCATCCATCTCAATGCCCACTACGTAGTAAGGCACCAGTCTGATCCCACTTCTTCCCAACGTTTTCGGTCTCCATTCCTCCTCCTTCCCTAACTCTCTGGGGTGAACACTACCCTTTGGGATGGTTACAGGGTTGGTTATGCTAACACGATGGGTGAGGTTTCTGTTCCAGACCTGCCTGGAGGGTAATAAAAGGCCAGTTTTGGGGTTCCCAGCAGTCTCCGTCTTAGCAATAAGCTAGTCTCTTGTAGGATTTTGAGTCCTACTCCACATTTTAGTCCAATGGACTGATGGGCCAAGCCAACATTAGTCTTCACACCCGGAGACCGGAAGAACTAGATGGTATCTAATGGGCACTGCCAACTGCTCTAAAAGGACCACATGAGAAGATTCTGAATCGAGGGGGAGAAAAACGTGGAACAGGAGCTGCGTTTCCAACCAGCCTCCCAGCTCACTAGGACGGGCGGGAAGTCTGAGCTGGAAACAGCCACAGCATCATGGGAGGAAGCCTCCTCAGGCCACCCAGGCGGGAGTTGTTCAGGACTGCCCCCCGCCTCTCCCCTGAAAGCCCAGGATGCTTTCCTCCAACGGGAAGACACTAGAATGTGGACACTTTCTCCAGGGCTGAGAGATTAATGAGACGCACCCACACGGCGGGGAGGAGCGCGAACAACATGCTGCCGTTCCAGACGTCAAAGCAGGAAATTCAAACCACACTTTCGGTAAAAGCACCTGACCTTGAAGAACGGCCCGGCATGGCCTGCGGCCTGCGCAACCACAGCGCAGCTTCTGCCAGGTGCCCCGCCTGAAGTGTTGGGGTACCTGCTTACTCACAGGGAGAAAGGCGGGGCTTTCTACTCCCTGGAACAGAGCAGCTACAGTCCTGGAAACTCGTAGGGGCAGTTGCATGATGGCCAGGAGTGAGTGTACCGCAGGATGCTTAAGGAAGGTGTCTAACCAGAGGTCCTAGGGGACCTCCACATGGGGTCTTCATTCAACCAGCCAACCAAGCTCTTCTGATATGCACCCGGCCTCTGGTGGCTCTCCTAGGGCAGGGCGCCCACACGCACTCTGTCTGCTGGGACGCAGCCAACACCCACACTTCGCTGAGAGCTGGAGGCTGGCTGCCAGGGAGGGTCCTGCAGTGCTGGAGGTGGGGAACGACCATCAAGGGCCCTCCTCTGCCCACTTGGATTAGCTCTCTGTGGCTGGAGTGAAAAATGACCGAGTACTTAAGCAAATAAAAATAGGCGATGTCCAGTCCATCCTGACTCCTGGCCAACCCATGTGGGTCAGAGACCTGCATGTGCCACGGGGTTTTCGACCACTGGTATTTTTAGTAGATGCTCACAGGCGTTTCTTCCGAGGCAGGCATTGAACCACCAGCCTTTTGTTAACCATCTGTGGTTCTTGGCTCCAAGCAGCACGAAGAGCTCCCCTCCATGAGCTGCCACAAGGGCACACAGTCCTGCTGACACCCTGCATTTAGTCTCCCTAAACTGAACCAAACTCTCTGCCCCGGAGTCAATGCTGACCCATAGTGACCCTACAGGACAGGGTAGAATTGCCCCTGTGGGTTCATGAGGCTGTCACATTTTCTAGGAGTAGAGAGTCTCCTCTTTCTCCCAAGGAGCAGCCGGGGTTTCACACTGCTGACCTTGTGGTTAGCAGCACAACATGTAACCCACTATGGCACCAGAGCTCTGGAAAAAAAAAGTTATTATTTTTTTTTGAGACCCATGATCAGACTGATGACCCACAGAACTGTGAGGTAGTAAATCTGTGTTGTCGGAAGGCCCTGCATTTGTGGTCGTTTGTTTCCGGAGTCACAGTCAACCAATACAGCCCGACGGTGGACACCCAGGGTTTCAGCGACACCCCAGGTCCTGTCACAGCTCAGCAGCCTTAGCAGGGGTACAAAGCTTCACTCTGCTTCCTTTTCTTTGGTCTTTGGGAGATGAGTCATCGACTCTTAGTGGTGGTAAGTGATAACCCAGGCACGGCCTGTGTGAAATCTGCCCTCAGCACCCGACAACCACACTGCCTTCCGGCCACTAGCCCCAATCTACCCTGGGATCTAGGCGTTTGGGACTTTACACAGATGAAGCATTTTATCCGTATACAGGCAGAGATGTAAATAAAAAGTATTTCTATAAAATCATAGAAACCTTTATGTAATGAAAATATCAACATGGGAAGCTCTTGTTTCTCAGCCGACCCGCCATCAACACGCTCCCGCAGGCAGCCTTCCCACCTCCCTAACCCTGCCTGGAGAAGCCTCCGCCCTTCGACTTATGCCACAGCAAATGGCAGTTTGGGCAATCTCGAGGTTCTCAAATCATGTTCCGTTCCAAAGTTCTTCGGGTTTGGGGGAATAAAAAGAAGTCCAAAGGGGCCGGACCGGGCTGGAAGATGGCTGCGGTAAGGTTTTCCAGTGAGTTCCTCGTAGGGCAGCACTTGCCATCCTCATGCAACGCGTCGGTGCATTGCTGTGAAGGGAAACAAACTCCTCAGCGCGGTTTTTCGGGCCTTTTTCTTACCAGTTTTCAGTTTCCTTCACACCTCTTCCTAGTGAGCCCCTGCAATGATCCTTTGAGAAAACTTATCCGAATCCCTTTGGAATTCCCAAACCCAGTCACCAGGACCTGCTGGTTTGAACTGAACTGGCCCACGGTGCCCCCTGGAAACCACTGTTTGGATCGGACCTTAGATTGGGCGGCACCCTACAGAGACAAGCCAAGTGTATTTCTGAGAGAACTGTCTGTGGCCATCCGCTGCTTGCAGAGACCTGTCTAAACCTGTGCTCGTGTGAACTGGAAGCAATACTTTTTGGCGTATCCTAGTATTTATGGACAGGCTATTCCGGGTTTGAACGGGTGTACTAGTGGCACCGTGGGAGGTCGCTGCACTGGCACCTGCACAGTAGGCGGTTCAAACCCACCAGTTGCTCTGAGCCAGAGAGTGGAGCCCATCTGCTTCCCTAAAGATTGAAGCCTTGGAAACCCTACAGAGGGGGTCACCACCAGTCACAATCAACGGGAGGGCAGTGAGTGGGGGTCACCACCAGTCACAATCAATCAACAAGAGGGAAGTGAGTGGGGGTCACCACCAGCCACAATCAAGGGGAGGGCAGTGAGTGGGGGTGGTGGGCATCCTAACAGCAGTTAGGTTCACATATGAGGGGGGCTTAAAAAAGCTTGTGGAAAAATTGGAAGCCCCCTCGTGTATCGCACACAGATCATAAAATAAAATACACTGAACATGACAACGAGCCACTTAATATTTGACTGTCAAAGACTCTTCAAGACCTTCCCACTCATGGGGCATTGTGATGAGCACCTCTCCCCTCTAAACTCTGCAGGTGGGGAGAATGAAAACACATTCTCTGATACCTAAATCATGTGTCTAGTCTATCCGTTAAAGGACAGGGG